TAAAAACAAGAAAATTAGCAAAATTTTTACAACTCGTTTTTTGATGCCTAATTTTTTAAATGAAAGAGAAATCTAAAAACTTTGAAAAGATTATTTAGGAACAGAATATTTAGTTAAGAAAGTTAACCTGTTTAAATTTCATTCATAAATTTTAATATGAAATAAATTTATAGACAATTATTAGATCGAGCAGAAGGTTTTTGTCGTACGCTTGAAGGACGTTGGGCACTAGGCGATTGTGGTAATTCAGTACTTATATTTATATGGAAATATTATAAAAAGGTATATACATGTAAACAAATTCAATTTTATTCATTTCAACTAATTTCAATCATTTTTCTTTTTTGCATTTTTGACTTTTTTTATTTGAATTACGTGAATTTCTGCAATTTTGATTTTTTTTTATTTGAATTACGTGAATTTCTGCAATTTGATTTTTTTTTAATGTGAACTACGTGAATTTCTGTTTTATTTTATTACGTGAATTTGCGTAACTTCCATGAGTTTTATAAAATGGTTTATATTTGTTTTTGAAATAAGAATTATTGATTGCTATGAAATGGAAATAATGTAAGTAATTTATTTAATATGAAATATAGTAATTAATTATTTATAATAATATAAAATAAAGTAATTAAAATAAATTTTTTATTTTTGAGGTAATTATTTGGCCAGCTCGACTTGCTAAACGATATGTTACAAAAAGAGAAAGGCGAAAAATTTTAGATGATGTAAATAATTTGATACAAAATGATAAATGGTATGAAGCGCTTAAACGGGTCATCGGTAATTTATTAAATTAATTATTAATATTTAACTCTTTTGAAATTTCAACGCAAATAAAAATCGATTACTTAAATGTTAATTTTTAGTCTTTGAAATTTTGTTAAATTTATTACTTACTACTATATTGGAATATTATGTATTAATTTTTAGTCTTTTTATTACTTAATACTCTATTAGAATAATTTTTAAATTTGATAATTGAATTAATTGATTAATTTTTTTTAATAAGTTATTCTTAATTATATAATGATTCACTAACATTTTTTTGTTGTCTTCTTTAAAAATAATTTATTATATTTCCAGCAGCATTACACGATGAATTAAAAGGTGAACCAGAAGTTCGTTTTGATACGGGTACATTATCATTAATTATCGCTGTTGGTGTTGCTGTTTTACTTACAATTATGATTACATGTAAGTAATTGATGTATCATTTATTGATTTGATAATTAATTAATTCCATTATTGAATTGTTTAAAGGATGAATTAAATTTACCATTTATTTAATATGATAATTTTTTAACACAATTTCAAAATTTTTTATATTTCAACAAACTTTAAATTTCATTCATATGATATTATTTATTGTTTCAATTCTTATCTTCATTACATATCAATGATACATTCCTTCTTTCGAAGAAATTTGAAATTTTACAACGAAATAATAAATTTTAAATTCTACTCATATTTTAATTATTAATTATATCTTATAAATTGTTTCCAGAATGAACTGAAATTAACATTTATTTAATTCCTAATCGATAATTCCTATTTGCTCAAATGATAATGGTAAAAAAAATTTTTTCCCAAATTATATTTAAAATTTTCCCAATTAGGTTGCGTATGTGCATTCCGTTGGTGTGGTAATATGCGATCAGATCAATCAGATCGATTAGGCAAATCGTTGCGACGAATTAATGGTCTTCGAACGCAAATCATACGACATGGTACCCAATTAAGACGCTCTTTCTCACGATCACCAAAATTTGGCAGTTTTCGAGAATGTTCAATGAATAGCTCATTTATTAGCGATACGGCTGGAAATGCAACAATTGTTTGATTCAAATAATTTGCCTAATACATATACATATACATATAAATATAATTGATATTAGATATCAAATTACTGAAATCAAAATTAACAATCTCTTCGCTTATTTGTTAAACTGATTACACAAATATGCAAAACTTCCAAAAGCATAAAATATTAATTGTTTTTTTATCATTAAATATTTGTGATGATAAAAATGATAACGAAATGAAAATGAATGAGTGATATATTTATCAATACATTGCATTACTTATGGAAATGATAAATTTAATTATTTTGTAATTTAATTTTGAAATGAAATTTCAAAATTAATTTATTGCATATAATTAAATAACAATTATATTGCAATTTGTTTAAGAAATAATTAGCAAACTTTGATGTATCATTCTTTTTTTTTGCAAAATTTTCTTATTAAATTCAAAAATTAATTCCACTTCTTTACTATATACATATAATATATATAATTCTTGGAGCATAATTATGTTAAAATTGCTCAATAGTTTCTCATCATATATTTTGTTTATTTTTCTTGCCATCCGTTATTTATTTTGTAGGTAAGATTTAAATTTAAATCTTATAAAATTTTCAATTTTCATTATCATCTGTTACATTGCAACTTATTTGTTCAAAAATGCTCATTATTTCTAAAATTACTTTTTCAAATTTTAGAAATGATATGGAAATTTTTGGAATAGCTCAGTAGAATTACAAAATTAATCGAATGAATTTTGAATGAAATATTATTTATAAAATTTACATAATCAAATTCGTCATATATGTATTGAACTTATTAACATATGTACCGAAATTGAATTAACATATGAAATAAATTGAATTAACATATGTACTGAATTGAATTAACATATGTACTTGAATTGACATATGTGCCTAAATTGAATCAACATATGTACCTGAATTGAATTGACTACACATATGTAGCTAAATTGAATTAACACATGGACCTAAATAGAATTAATATATGTACCTGAATTGAATTGACTACACATATGTACCTAAATTGAATTAACGTATGTACCTAAATTGAATTAACATATGTGCCTGAATTGAATTGACTTACACATACGTCCCTAAACTGAACTAACATAAGTACCTGAATTGAATTAACATACGTACCTAAATTGAATTTAGCATTTGTATTTCAATCGAAAGTATTCTAATAAGTGAGCTGCAAAAAGAAAGAGAAAAAGAAATCGTGCCAGATGAATGAATTTTGAAAAGAAATTAAAAATTTCCCACGGAATCGTTTTTTTTAGTAAATAAAAAATTTAATTTAAATATTTCCTTTTCAAAATAAAAACAAAAGAAATAAACTTTAATTAATAAATTAAACCAAAAGGGAAAAACATGAAAAAACAAGTTTTTTCATTATTCAAAAAAATTCTTTCAAACAATTATTCTTATTTCATTGAAAAAAATTTTTCCGGAAATATAAGAATTTTACAATGAAATAATAAAGAGAGAGAGAGAGAGAGAGAGAGAAAGAAAGAGAGAGAGAGAGAGAGAGAGAGGGAGAGGGGGAGATAAATCATTTGCAATTTGTTTACAGCAACCAAAATTTTTAATGATACGAATTTTTTTCATTCTTTCTTATCATACAATCAAAAAAAAGTGGAAAAAGAAAAATAAAAAAAGAGAAAGATGGAGTGATAAGAATGAAAAGAGAGAGAGAGAGAGAGAGAGAGAGAGGGAGATAAGATGAAGAAAAAGAAGAAAGAGTTAGAATTATTGTTAAAAAGATGTTATCATCAATATTTTGAAGTTCGAAAGATTTATCTTTCTTCTTTAACATAATTATGTTAACGCACATCTGTTCCAATGATTGAAATGGTTTCTATTCATTTATTAACTCTCATTCATCTTATCTTATTTACTTCTTACAATTTATCAGTCAAAAATGATTGCAATTATCATGCATTAAGATTTATATGTTACAAACGAAATTAATTATTAATTGGGAAATGAATAATCAATATATATTGATATTATAACATGAAATACAATAATCAATATATTGATAATTATAATATGAAATGCATATAAATACATGCATATATATTATGTATGATATATATGATGGGAAAAGGAAAAAAAAAAACGGTAATTTCATTAGCATAATTTAATTAATTATTGAGTAATTAAGTAATGCATTAAGATTTATATGTTACAAATGAAATTATTAATTGGAAATGAATAATCAATACATTGATATTATAATATGAATGCATACACATATATATATATATATATATATATATATATGCATACATATTATGCATGATATGTATGATGTGAAAAATTATATATATATATATGCATACATATTATGCATGATATGTATGATGTGAAAAATCATTTCATTGGCATAATTTATTTAATTACTCAATAATTAAGTAATTAATTAACAAATAAATGCTGGCGATAGAAAGAAAACATTATTTCAATGTCATCATCAAGTGATAATATATTAATATTAAGTTTTGCTTACAAAAGTATATATGCACAAATAAGTGCATAATAATAATAATAATCGTTAAATGCAATATTCTAAATGAATAATCAATTTTTTCTAAATGTTTTTTTCAACTTATTCTTAATTTCAAATTTTAAATATTTCATTTCATCTTATATAAACAAAATAATTAATTTCCAATGCAGAAATTTTGGATTGAATTTTTATTTTTATTTTTAATAAATTGATAATTTTAATTTTTTAGTTGATTTTTCAATTTAATTAATCTAATTTAATTCATTAAGAGCAAGTTTATCCAATGCACTTCGACATATATGATCGTCAAATGTTTAACATATATGTAAATTTTAAAGTATATATGTATGTAAGTACATAAGTATATATGCATTAAGAACAAGTTCCTTCAATGCACCTTTATATATATATTTTTTAAAGTATATATATATACATAAGTATATAAATGATGTATATAAATAAGTATATAAATGATACATATACATATATATATAAGTAAGTATATAAGTAATTTGTATATAAAGAGACACACAATCATATACATACATTTATATATAGTACTTTATACTTTTATAGTTAAATTTAACAAATTCTAAGAGTGCTAAAAAGATTTCATAAAAATTTATTCATAAATTTCAATGTAAATATAACAATTGATCATTTCATTTTCTTTCGATGTCTTATTTTCAGATTAACCCCTTTGAAGTAGCAGCCATTACCATAAGTTGTATGTATCGGTAAAAACCATAACAATGGATTATAGCCAAAAATAGAGCAAAAATTATGCCAAATTGAACCCAAATCATAGGAAATATATATTGCATGTCGATTATCGCTATTTGTACAACAAAATTGAACTGATGAACTTTCTAATGTTGTCTCATTACGAAATAATAAATATGTTAATTGACCCAAAAATATTGTAAGCGAAATGCCACAGATCTAAATATTCAAAAATATTTGAATTAAAGAAATTTTATTATGTATTATATATATATTAATTAATTACTCACAAATATAGTGAGCGAATAAATATGTTATAGTAAAAAACGTGTTATAATAATATGTTAATTGACCTTTATTATGTATTATTTTGTATTGTATTTTAGTTGAATAATACTTAAATCAATAATGCATGATATATTATTGTGTAAATATAAGGTAAAAAATTAAAGATTGTTTTTCTTTGCCAATTCACTACGCTTCCACCAAAATGTAATATGGAAATTAATTTCATTATTATATACGTGGAATGATAAATTAAAAAGTGATGTAATTTGAAATTAAAATATTAATATTTAATAATTACCGAAGCATTTAATATACCAGATGCAACTAAACAGGTTGCAACAAGTCCATCAATGGATGGTGGAGCTAATTGCACATATCCTGGCATTAATGTACCTCCATTGGGAAAGTAGTTCTTGGTCAAATGACACACGCCTTTACGCAGACACTAGTCCTAACACTGGAGGATGAAAAATATAAAATATTGAGTGATCGGTTCCGTTTCGTTGATTGATATTTCATATT